TATTTTTCTATACGCGGGAGCTGAAAAAGTTTTTCACTTATGAAGAGGACGTTGACCCCACCATGATAAATCGCAAAAAAATAATGTTAAGCACTCAAAAAATATTTTTGATCATTTTGCAAAAAAAAAAAAAAGAAAAAAAAAAGTCGTAACCAGAATCTGGGCAGTAATAAAATTTTTTTTTTCTATCGTTTAAAGTTCTTAATTTCTAAACATAAAATCGATAAAATTTATAACCATTTTCAGAAACTTTACGTAATCATGATAAAATAAACACTGTCTGAGAAAAGTGTGAAAATCATGAATTTTTTCATAATTTAGAACGACAATCGACAAGGAAAAGAGGAAAAAAAATCGCTTTTTAAAAGATAGAAAATTAAGCACTTTTTACAAATTCCAATTGAAAAAGCAACTTTAAGGGCCTTTAAAAAACGTTAATCAAAAATAATAAACTTAAAGCACTTTTTAAAAACGCTAAGCACCTTGTCTTCGATTAGCTATTAACGAGGTTTCATAAATGTAAAATAAAGACTGGTTTATTTTTTCTATTTTCAATTTTTATCGCTTTAAACACTCATGACTCATTATTCAAATTTCAGAACCAGAATCAATTAGAATTCGAGCACTTTCTGCCATTGCGAATATTTATCTTTTACGAAGGTTGCTATTTATATTTCTGGCCTAATCATGAAAAAACAAATATGTAGGATCGAAAACTGCCCAGAAGACAAGAGAACTCATAGATTTTACGCAAAAACACTTAAATTTTTTACTTATGATAGAACTCCGATGTTAAGCATCACTGGCTGCTGTCAGTGTGCTGGTGGGTAACCACTTTGATCAGGCTGCGTAGGGACCGAGGATGCGCCGTATCGGTCCTCGTTAAGCTATTCTACCATATAGTGCTCGACTTCGTGCGCAGGTCGTCGGCCTACCAAAGCAGGGGAGCTATCCCCTCTGCAGATGATCAAAATTGCGATGCGGATTGTCTTCGGATTGTTAAAATATAGGACACACAATTGTCTTCGGATCATCCTCAGGGATGTTTCCCAGACCGTTGTTAATAGCCCATTGTGTAGCTCTAATGCGACGTCAATAAAGTGCCTACCTGCATATGAGTTATTTTTACTAAAATTAGCAACAAAAAAAAAAACGTTTACAGTTCAAATGCATTAGCTATAAAATATATTTTCAATTATTTGAAAGAAAGGTTTCAGAAGAGCATCAAAACAAAAATGTTAAGCGACTTAATATGGGACTAAAATGTTTATAACTTCATATTCAAAAATTTGTATTTTTCTATACGCGGGAGCTGAAAAGTTTTTCACTTGTGAAGAGGACGGTGACCCCTCTATGATAAATCGCAATAAAATAATGTTAAGCACTCGAAAAATATTTTTAATCATTTTAGAAAAAAAAAATCGTAACCAGAATCTGTGCATTAATAAAAATAATTTTTTTCTATTGTTTAAAGTTCTTAATTTATAAACATAAAATNGTGACCCCTCTATGATAAATCGCAATAAAATAATGTTAAGCACTCAAAAAATATTTTTAATCATTTTAGAAAAAAAAATCGTAACCAGAATCTGTGCATTAATAAAAACAATTTTTTTCTATTGTTTAAAGTTCTTAATTTATAAACATAAAATCTATAAAATTTATAATCATTTTCAGAAACTTTACGTAATCATGATAAAATTAATAGTGTATGATAAACATTGCAGAAAAAAGTGTGAAAATAATGAATTTTTTTATAATTTAGAACGACAATCGACAAGGAAAAGAAAAAAAAATCGCTTTTTAAAAGATAGAAAGTTAAGCACTTTTTACAAATCCCGAATAAAAAATGCACCTTTAAGGGCTTTTAAAAAACGTAAATCAAAAATAAGCAACTTCAAGCACTTTTTAAAAACGCTACGCACCTTGTCTACGATTAGCTCTTAACGAGGCATCATTAATGCAAAATAAAGACTGGTTTATATTTTCTCTTTTCAATTGTTATCGTTTTAAACACTCATGACTCATTACTCAAATTTCAGAACCAGAATCAATTAGAATTCGAGCGCTTTCTGTCATTGCGAATATTTTATCTTTTATTAAACCTATTACAGTAGGTAAACTAACACTCTTAGCGTTTTGACTTAGATTTGTGGCGACGAAAGGGTGATGACGCCATTAGCGTGGGGGAATAAAGAAGAATCGAATTCATTTCCCCCTTCCCGATACTGACTTATTTACCACTTCATTTCCTAATTTTCATTTTGTTTCATTTGCAGGTGCAATGTTTTTCATTTCTTTCGGGAAGTGAATTAAATTGTTTTTAGTTTTAAATTTTTAAATGAAAAAAATTTTTATGAATTTTTTACATTGCACACTTTTTTACATTGCACACTTTTTTACATTGCAATTAGGGGATATTTTCCTTATTGTGATCTGTCGCGCCAACTACACTCGACAAGATGCCAAATAGATTTTAAACTTGCAATTTTTTTAAAAAAAAAGAAACATGTAGATGTTTGCCTACTAGTTGTACCTTTCGAGCTGGTCTCCTTCTGTAATTTTTTTTTAGTTCCTGGACCTTTAACCACGTCTATTCCAACATACACTGAAAATATTTTTAAATTTAAGACAAAAGTATAATGGACGTTTTTCATTACTCAGACACATATCACAATTGTTATTTTTCTCCTCATTGAAAAGTATTCTAGGCGCGATTTTATGTTTGTTGTTATAATCCCTTAGTCCAGTTCTTTTCTCAGCTATAATTTTTACTCGAGATGTAAAATATAGGTCACATTCCTTTGTTAACTCAAGAGGTTTAAACAATTTTTCCGTCTGCCATATGTGAGGCTATATCTCGATCTAGAGTCTGAAACAACCTATCTGACACTATGAATTGCTTTAAGCCGACTAGCCTGTGTAGGGGTTAGGGAACTGCCCTTGCATCAGAAAGGTTCTGTGTTCGAATCCCGGGCAGCAAGGCATGGATGTTCTTTCCTTCTCTGTACTATCTGTCCTTACTGTGGGAGCAACGTTGGCCCACCTACTATGGTGCACCTGATAGAGTGGTCAACAAATCTGCCCTTCAGGTGCCTGTATGACCTAGGTCATTATCCAGGTTTGCAATGGGGGAAAAAATGAATTGCTTTAAAGTTTCAAATACGTACGCTGGCTTGTTTACTCTTCAGAAAATACGGTTATTCGATATAAGAACATTATATGCTGACCCTTTTGTCGTAGTGGTCTTTCAGAGATTTCGGGGTACGAATCTACATATCACTAAGCTTCGTTTCTTGGCTACCCTGCTAGATTCTCTTGCAAAAACTTCATCAAGTTGAATGGTACTAGAGGAGTGATTTGATTACTTTATTCACATGTATAAAATGAAAATTCAATCAGACCCTTTATTTTATTCGATTTGACCCTTGTCAATCGAAGAACAGATAGCACAAATTTGATAAAGTTACAATCAGGGTTAGAACGGAATTCGAACCCGATTCCTCGAAGCTTAAAATATTCGGCAGGAGGACCATGTATCTCGACTAAAATGATTAGAGAAAAGAAGCATAGACTTAATGGGAAGGTAACTGAGTATCTAATGGGTAAAGAGAAACTGAGAGTCTAATGTCTCGGATGGCAAAAGAGAAGGTTTCAAGTTCTTGTCTGAAGTTACTAAAGAACCTCAACGCTGTAACGGAGTGGAACAAACACCAACTGCATGAAGATAATAACTAAGATATAAGTCGGTGATACCACAGAAATCAAAATCATCACCTTCTTCGCACCATAAGCATTTAATGAATGGTTAACAGAAGTGAACTAACAACAGCAATATATTTTATTTATCAGGCTGATCAAAGTGGTCACCCACCCGCTAACTGACCACAGCCTGTAATACTTGACTTCGGTATTCTACTGGGAACTGTCTCTTTAAGATCAGTCCAATGCGGGACTCAAGCTTGAGAAGATCATCACAATGATGAAGTCAGGATGGCGGTGGAATCCTTACCCGTTACTTCCAAGCTAGAGAGCGTTTGGTGGAATGGTGAGACCACTTGTCCAGGGAGGCCCCTTTTATCGTTCTGTAAAAAAGTAATTACCCTAAAACCTGATATTTCCTCAGCACCTTTTGCTAGAATTTTTCCCAACCATGAAAAGTAACCTCAGCTCACTCAAGGCACAGAGGATATATTACATATGAGTATTTTATTCATTGGTACTTGCATGCTTGTGTGCTCAATTACATGCAAGTGCTCAATTACATTACATGCATTCAATTATACAAGTACGACTTTTAAGTCTTTATCAGGTAGAAAGACAGATAGAACAATTCAAATAAGAACAATACAAAGATACATTCGGGGTAGGGCGGGTTTCGAACCCTCTACCTCCACGCTACAGAACGTTTGGCTCGTGATTGTGGTTTATTTACATCATACTAGAGCTGCGCAATGGGCTTTTGGCGACGGTATGGGAAACACCCCTGAGGATGATCCGAAGACATACCATCACAATTTTGATCCTCTGGCGAGGGGATGGCACCCCGCTTCGGTAGACCAACGACCTGCTCGTGAAGTCGAGTACTTTACCGTAGAAGAATTTAACGAGGACCAATACCACACACCCTAAGTTCCTTCGTAGACTGATCCAAGTGGTCACCCACTGGCACACTAACCGTAGCCAGTGATGCTTGACTACGGTGTTCTACTGGGAACCGTGTCTTAACGATCAGTCCATTGCGGGACCTTTATCAAGCAGAAAGACAGATAGTACAATTCAAGTAAGGACATTACGAAGATACATCCAGGGAAGGGCGGGATTCGAACCCGTTACCTCCACGCTACAGAACGTTTGGCAGGAGATAACGTTCGATACAGGTTGGCCCTCAAAACGCGAATAGCATAGATCCACTTCATCATCAACTCAACTCAACTTTGACAGACAATAATTGACAATCGTTATCGATATGAAGGGATATAAAATACGGGGCAAGAGTGGTACCCAACGAGTTCTTCATATCTCTGCTTTGTCGTTACTTTATTTGTATGAGTTGGAAGGTAGTGTGTTTAGTCAAGTTTTACAAGTCAAGATCTGACGAGAACTTTAAAGTAAGTCTTTTTCTATTCTTCGTGATAATTGATGATAAATGTTTCGTGATATTTGATGATATGCTTGTAATTCTCCAAAATTCGGAATTTCTTTTAAGAATGAGTAATATGCTTCTTTAACTTGCGCTCTTGTGAAAGTTAGTTTTTTTTATGAGATATTGGCTAGCTGAAAGTATTATTTTTAAAATTATTTTAATATTATTGAGTAAAACTGTTGAATGTTTATGAAAAACAGTAAAACGAGAGTTTTATGAAACAATAGTTTTAAAATTTAAAATTTTTTTAATATATTTTTTAACAGGATTTAATATCTAATAGTCTACTTTTTAAAACTCTGTCCTTTTCTTCTCAGATATTGATTTGATTTATAAAGGTTTGTGACTGTTTCAAACTTAACAGAATTCCCACTCAATTCTAAAATCTTGTATATTAAAGATTAATATTTCAATAGAGATTAGTGTAAGACATTTTTTTTTAAATATTTGGGGTGCACAAACTATCAATTTTGATTAAACAAAATCAGTGTCTTCTATATTTACTTTTGGCGATTTAGCTATAGTTTGTCTAAATGACGAACTTCCCTAGCCATTTGTCTGGACCCGTGGCGGTAACTATGGTAACGAGGTTAGTGGGTTAAGTAAAAACTACTTCTAAAATACAAAACGATATAAGTTTTAAAATATTTGAGATGAATGAAATTACGATTTAATTTTTAAAAGTTACTTATGTTAGTTCTTACGTTAGGGGTAGCTCTTACCATAGACAAACTATAGGTTTACCAGTCCGATTCCTTAGACCAGGGAAGTTAAATTTCGTTAGGCCGTTAATTAGTTTGCCTGTAGTTAAGCAAATGTTTCAACCTTTAGCCAGTGCGATTAAGGCAAATGAAATTTTTTTCTTCTCGAATTTAAAGTAAATCAATATTCAACTATTGTGAAATAATTTCTACCTTGAAATGTGATTATTTTGTCTGCAAATTTTGCTCATAATTCTTGGGGAGAATAATGGTGACTAACTGGCTTGCACGGAAATTTTAACCGTAATAACTTTCTTCAAAACCTGTGAAAATTAAAGGATGGAAAATTTCTTTTAATCGAAAATTTAGTTTCGAAACTTTAAGATTAAGAATTTCGTTTTATGGAGATTCTATTGTATTTTGATAAATCTACTATGGTATTGATATCTGCAAATCATTTGCTAATTTTATTTAGATATGTTAAATAATTTCGTAATGAAACACAATTAAATTGTTATATATAATTTACTGGTTTTGTATACTAAATATTTTGCATGAATTGTTGGCTTATTTTAATTTTATGTACAATCTATTTGATTTTAAACGATGTAAAGGAATGAACTGTAACTTCCTACAAGGAGGTTGGGAGGTTTGCTGCCTACTTTAAATTTCCTTCATAGGTCAACCATGACTAGCTGCGAACATAAATTTATAATTGTGTAGGGCTCCGTGGCTGAATCGACGCGACACGGCGATATTGTCGCAGAGCGTTAGAGTTCTTGCAGAAAGATTTTCCTTTGAAAAATAAATTTTACTTCATTTCTGCAGAAATTTTCACGTAATATTTAAACCATGAATTTAGATAATCACTTTTTGACTCTGTTAATTTACGCAGATTGCATCGTAAATCCATGTAATGTTTCGATTTCATTTTCGGCAGTTATTGATGTTGATTTTCACTCGGATTTTAGATATCCCGATATATTTCAAACAATAGGAAACATTCGAATCGCGCATTTGAGCATTTACTTAAGGCGATAATTTATCGAATTTTTAGCGGTTATTGCTATTGATTTCTCTAGCTTTTAAATTCGATATTTATTTTACAGGATATAATTAACTACTACCTAATCTCGAAACTAAACACGCATTTGAGGAGTCTGATTCTCGTGATTTCGTTGTCTATCTTTTTTCGGCTATCACTACTACGGATTTCACAATTTTTAATAATTTTCTTTATTGTGATAATTATTTACAATATGCGAAGAAGGAAATAATTTCTGCTCCCGCAACAACATGCGAGAATATCACCCATAGTAACAGAATAAAAATTATTACACGTTCAATTTAAAATATATATATTGTAAACAAAGCATTGTTATTTTAAATTTTTAACATATATGTTTAAAAGTATCTTGCAGTAAGATATTAGTGCTAAAGTTTTGTCGCAGACATCTCTAAAAAATTTTGCCACCGGGATGGGCTCTTCGGTGATTTTCTGTAACTAGTAATTTTCGTCACTTCTAAAGTAAACAGATTTTAAAAATTCGAAAACAGTTGAAACGTCATTCAGACTAGAAAAGAAATTTGCCAAAACTGTGAAATTAAAATTTTTAAGCCTTTAACAACTCCAATTCTTCTGAGAATTGGAGATTTTAATTTAACCGCATGAATATTTAGCACCGAACTCTAGTATTGTCGCAATAGTCTACATGGTGCGTAGCGTTTTTAAAAAGGGCTTAAAGGTGCTTATTTTCGTTATTTAAAAAGCCCTTAAACGTGCTTTTTTCATTGTGTGTTTTTAAAAAGTGCTTAATTTTCAAACAAGAGATTTTTTTCGTTGCCATGTCGATTTTCGCCACGCATTATGCGAAAGCATGCTTTTCACATAGTTCTGTTCAACTTCTTCACTATTCATTTCGGCGTTCCATCTGTCAATAGCGTATGAAAGCGCCAATCATTTTACATGTTTGATGAAATACTTGAGAGTTCGTATGTGCGTCTACTGAGCTGGGTTCGGTGAGATTATTGCCTTCTCATGCGCCACTCTGCTGCATTTTGCAAGATATTCTCAAGTTCAGACTTCATTTTCCACCCTCTGATATCGAACCGAAAAATCTCTCGATTATTTTATAACAGCTAATATAATCAGTTATTTTATCTACTAGTTATTTTATCATGATCATCTGAAGTCTTTGAAAAATATTTTGAAAATTGTTAATGTATATGCTTAAAAATATTTTGAGTGCTTTAAAAGTTGCTTATTTTTTGTTGAAAGATTTGGCTATGCATCCTGGTCTAATATTATCGATTTATTAGTCATAAGTATGAAACTTTCATCAGCCAATTTAAATTCTATTACGCAAAAGTATAAAAAAAAACGCCACTGTCTATGTAGCAAATTTTATATTTTTAATGACATGTTTCCTATTTTCTTGCAGGATCCAAGAATGTACCTCGAAATAGATGCTTGATACTCAACTACATAAAGTTGCTTCATTGCTATATTAAAAGTCTATTCCGTGCAGGAGAATGTCGGCTATCATTATCAGATTTAGATGGGTAAGGAAGCTAAGATTTATTTTGATCTGATCAAGAAATTTTTTAATAAATTTTATTTAACACTAGAAAGACTGAAACTTAGTAAATACATAAATTGCCCAAAAGCAGTCAGAATGACTGCCTTGTGAAAAAATAACTAATATAGAAAGAAATTTGCTTAAAATTTTCAATATTTTTTATATTTGCAGTTATAGAACAAGTTATTAGTAAATATTAACAATAAAAAAATTTCATGGTGTACAAAAAGTCACAAAATTATAAGAAACTGAGTCATTATATACATTGTTTTTTTCTAATTGAAATTAAAAGCAGTCAAAAAGACTTCCTTGGACAATCTAGTGTTAATGTATCTATTCTAGTTTAGCATTTTATCATCTATTGAATTATAAAACACTTTAGACATTGAACTATTCCATAAATAAAAGTAAATATTTAAGGTATTAGACTAAGAAAAAAATAGGTTATTTCGACGAAAATTTAGATTTTTATTAACCTTGTTTGAACGTTAATTCATTGGATTTTCAAAACCCTTTAAATTTTTGATCTCCGATTTTTAGAAATGATAGTAATTTTCCATGGTGATAAATGAAAATGAAAGTACGGTCCTAGGCAATATCATTAGATGCAGTATAAGATTCTACGTAAAATCATAATTATCTGGTGATACTATACAATTTTATTGTTTTGAAGCGACTGAAACCGGTTTGCACTTGTTTACGTTCGTGTATTAATTGGTTAACATTGTAATGCAATACGTTAAAAACAAATACAAACTGGAAGTATATAAAAAAATCTCTTGAATTAAAACTCATTACACGTGTTTAAATATAAAAGTATTGCCTATAAACTCGTGCAAAACATGCAATTATTAAAACACTACAGTGGGTCTAATTATTATAATATACTAATATAATACGTGATATAATAAATATTCTATATGTCTTTTAATTTAATAAATTGTTGATTTTATATCGTCTAATTTACACAAAACACATGACCATGACAAAACACACATGACAAAAGTTCAGTTTAGACTGCCTTGAAATTTTGCATGTAGATTTTGTATAATGGTGCAAGTGTGAATTTGCTGTTTTATCAGCTGTTTTATCAATCTTAAAGCATATTAAGTCTTTAAAAATTGAATATTACTATTTAATTTTTAATTCTTTTTGAAATTATAAAATAGTTAAAAGCTCGGGTAATAACATTAATCTAGATGTTTTTGCAATTTATGAAATAAAATTTACTATATAGCTGTTAGCGTGGTATGAAAAAATGAGTAGTTTTGAACTCATTTGATTTAACAAATATTTTACACATTTTTAAACAGGGTATCTGCTACATTTTAGATTTTTAAATTAATGACTAAAGTATTAAAATAACTTCAATTGAAATGATAGGTATATAATCAAAACTATTATACTCTGCATCTTCATTAGATTTCAAATTTAAAAAAAAAGAGTAAAAGTTCAATTATGAGTGACAAATTTTGTTAAATACCGAAATTCATGACTTTCCACGATTTCTCATGACTTTCCAGGTGAGCAGATATCTTGTTTTAAACTTTACATTAAATTTAATTTTAAAGCCCTACTTACAAAATTTAGCCTTAAAAATTGTGTGGATTTCCACGATCAGTCTGACGGCAAGGAGCTTCTAACTCTTGATCCGATATAGGTTATTTTACGTCAGCACTGCGGTCGGTGCTAGCGAAGAGCAGAATTTGTATCTACCAGTCTATGCTTAGGTAGCATCATTAACGCTCGGGGGCCCCCACTGCTTTTAATTGGTTTTAAAGTGTACAAAATTTTGTCTCACTGAAAAACTGAACTTGTTTGGACAAAACTTTATAACATTAGTATTGCGTCCTATGTAACTTTCATCATATCTGAAGCTTATGTTTAATTTAGTTTCTTGGTTTGAGATGTTTAACTTCTGCTGATAAAATCTCCTACTGATCAGGGAGGCTAATTAATTTAGTCATTTGGCACAAAGCTCTAAAATAAGAACTTTCACCAATATCAGACTGTAATGTTCCCTCACGGTCTAAAGATAAATCTCTTAATTCCGTGGTTAGTTAAAGTTTTGCGTAATTGAAATTTTGACAACGCCATTAAGTTTTCGTTTGAACTTCGTCTGCATTTATTAATACAGATTTCTGTGTTACTCCAGCCTTTTGAAAAATACACAGCTCAGAGATCCTACCTGCAGGAATTAAATGTTCGGATTAATATGATCTCCTTTATAAGATTTATGAATTTTGTAAAATGCAGACTCTGGATATGCATTTAAAGGGCCCACCTACAAAAGGGGTTGACTGAGATATTTGCGTAACAAATATTTATAAAACTTTACTAGACTCAATATCAAATACTGCCTCTGACTAGAGTGAAATTATGTTAATTTGACTATCAGAATAAAGACATTTTGTATTTTTAACACTAGGCTTTGCATTGCTGATCTAATTGCCATGAGGATCGTAGTCTTAAAAAATCTCCATTACTGACCTAGTTACCATGAGGCCTGCTGTCTGCCAAGATCTTCATCACTGACCTAGTTACCATGAGGCCTGCTGTCTGCCGAGATCTTCATCACTGACCTAGTTACCATGAGGCCTGTTGTCTGCCGAGATCTTCATCACTGACCTAGTTACCATGAGGCCTGTTGTCTGCCAAGATCTCCATCACTGACCTAGTTACCATGAGGCCTGTTGTCTGCCAAGATCTCCATCACTGACCTAGTTACCATGAGGCCTGTTGTCTGCCAAGATCTCCATCACTGACCTAGTTACCATGAGGCCTGTTGTCTGCCAAGATCTCCATCACTGACCTAGTTACCATGAGGCCTGTTGTCTGCCAAGATCTCCATCACTGACCTAGTTACCATGAGGCCTGTTGTCTGCCAAGATCTCCATCACTGACCTAGTTACCATGAGGCCTGTTGTCTGCCAAGATCTCCATCACTGACCTAGTTACCATGAGGCCTGTTGTCTGCCAAGATCTCCATCACTGACCTAGTTACCATGAGGCCTGTTGTCTGCCAAGATCTCCATCACTGACCTAGTTACCATGAGGCCTGTTGTCTGCCAAGATCTCCATCACTGACCTAGTTACCATGAGGCCTGTTGTCTGCCAAGATCTCCATCACTGACCTAGTTACCATGAGGCCTGTTGTCTGCCAAGATCTCCATCACTGACCTAGTTACCATGAGGCCTGTTGTCTGCCAAGATCTCCATTACTGACCTAGTTACCATGATGATCGTAGTCTGCTAAGATGACCTACTTCAGTTGCCTGGTTGACATAACAGAACAAGAGGTTTATTTTTACATTCTCCTTGAATAGTATGAAAATTCCATTTTCGGCATTTTGGTTATTTAAATATTTTCTCTGATAAGAATTAAGCTATATAAATATTTTTAATTCTAAATCCATATTTATAATATAAATGTATTCTATATCATATTTAAAAATTTTTACTCATAAATTTTACGAGTGATATTTACCCATTAAATATCTTAAATTAAATTTAAAGTCTAAGTCTCTGAAATTTGGCAGCACCTTCTCTAATCTATCAGCTATGTATTATATATACGTACTGTTAATAGTCTTAAAATTTTAAAGACAAGCTTATTGTTAGCTATTGCTCGTTATCAGCTATGGCATAATATTTAAGAAAATTAATCCTTGGCGCAAAAGAACCAATTCCGATTTATTTGTTTTTTCCTTCAAACTATTGTCCAGTACACTAACTAAAATCTAAAATTTGTATTCAAAAGAATTGTTTTAGTGTGGCAGTTTAAATTCAAATCATTAAATTCAGAGAATTATTAAAAATTAAAATACTTTCGTTCGATTCTCAGACGAAACATATTTAGATGAATAAAACTTTATATCTGATTTTATTTTGGTATCACAAATTTTTAAATATTACTTTTCCACCAAATACATCGTACGTTACTTTCATATTTTAGAATCTGTTTAATTAAATGTGGGTTAATTTCAAAATCTACCATTAAAATACACTTAATCTGAAGTTTAAGCAAAACTTGTTTGTAAAAAAAGATTTGAGGAATTTATATCGAATAGACAAAATCTGATCTCAAATTTGTAAGGTATTAAAATTAACTAACTCTTAAACTTGTTTTAATTTTTAAAAGATATTGCAGCTCGCAGGTAAAAACCGGTATTAAATCAATGTTATAAAATGTCAAAACTCTTTGCGATAACGAGATATTTGGATGACGGAAAACCAACATACAATATCGCAAATTCAGTGTTATCTTAATAAATCGCACGGTATAAAATTGATAGTTATGAATTAATCTCCCCTCATCAGTAAAATACATATTAAATACCAGTTAACGTATTTAAGATAACCCGTACTGTTCGAAATAGAAATCTTATCTTACTATTTCTGATCTATCGGTTTGTGTACTTATCACTTAAGTTGTTTAAAACCCTTCATGCTAGCGACTCGCTGTAGCGTCATAGCATCGCATTTTTCAAATTTTACTTTTGTCCTAATCTTAGTTAGCTTTGATGGAAAACAATGTTGCATAGTTAGCACTTTACACATTAGGTTTTTATTTACGTAACTGTATTAAGGTAAATTTCACAAAACAAATCTAAATTTACAATTTGTCGATCATTTATGTAGTATCTATCGCAATAACAATTCTACGCATTTAGTCTAAATTTTAAAAGAATTAATGAGCATTATATAAAAAGTTTGAGAACGAAACTATTACTAGAAAATTAATGAAAAGTCAAGACTATCTAGTAATTAAGTTAGCGCAGCGGAACGCGGTAGAGGTTTGCTCAAGAAATGTTCTAATTTTGTCACTCAAAATAAAACTGGTAGCTTTTAACACGCTTTGGCGTAACAGAAACTTTTATTTGTAGTTAGTACTAATTATACACATTATCGTATGCTCTGAAAATGTTAGATTAGTTAGAAGTTTGGTAAATAAAATATTTCAAATTGTCAGTTGATTTCTTAAGATAAACGAAAATTATCTTTCTTATGAAATATATTTGATACATTAATAAATGGGCTTCTACAAAACTAGTCGCATTTTTTAATCTTATTTCTCTGCCGAGTCTATTTGCATAACGAAAGTCTTTAAATGGATATGCCTCAATTTGCTTAATCTCACCTCTTAAATATTTAAAGCAGTTTTGATATATATTCAGTGCTTAAAAGTATACGTTCAACTAAAAATTTCAACACCGATTAATATTATGGACGATTCGGCTCTTTTAGTTCTGCGAAACTGGCTGTAAGCATAGCACGTGATAAAAGGATATTTTAAAAATTTTAAAAGAATCTGTGACACACTATTTAGCCATAGATTCAAAAAGTAAGTTTGGAAAATTTTTGAATTTTCCCTTTTTTAAATGTAAATATTCCTGGATGAGCAAATTTAAAGCAATTCATGTTAAAGGAATTTCGTTATGCATTCATATTATTCATTCATCATGCTACTTCTGGCTAACTACTAACATCGAGACTAACTATAACATATATTTTAACAATAAGCTAACATCAATTCATTGACTCGGCGGCTAAATAAGTTTAAACAATGGGGTATAGTTACGCGGTATAAGCTATTTTATTTAGAGTATACTTAAAATTTTTATTTTAAAATTATATTAGATTTTTATAAATTATGAGATAGTAAAATTTTTTAATTAAGGTTATGCAGTTTCGATCATTTTCAGTTATTTTTCCAAGTTTAGTGAAAATAACGTGGAAAAAACGTTTAGAAATATTTTGGAAATACTGAAATTCAGCTTTGTACGTATTTTGAAATTTCTAATTCGGATAAAATAAAAATTTTGTAACAGGTGCATTAAAGATACGCACACATTTTTAAAAACATGCATCTATTTTAATAACTATAAAAGATAAAAATTAATTTCCGACTTTGTATAAACTAAAACAAATTCTAAACACATTAGGCTGTCCAGCTAACTATTGTGACTGAAATCCCGCTGTAATACGGGTAGACTTCAAAAACGTTCTTTCTTGTATATTAAGTGACTAGTTTCGATTGCGGTGATTTATAACTAGTTTCATTGTAAATTGTTTTCGACTAAGTATGAATCGATTAAGTTAACAACGTTTCACATATAGAGCCGTACATCCACAGCATTAATCTCTTTTCGACCCAGGTTTTAAACACCCTGGAAAGTACTTGGCGAGCTTTAAAACTTGTACAGCTATTAAAAAGAATAACGCATAACAGCTGCTAGGCATTACGATATGAGGAACTTTAACTATACTGGATCCTTAACTTGACGTAAAGCTAGTCTAAAACTAGAAAAGTGGGTACTAGAAAAATTATTTTTCAAAGCATAAATGGTAGAGCTTTAGTTGAAAAGGGTTCGTACACATATTAATCATTACAGAATATTCCATAATCTGATAAATAATTGCTTTAATAATTTGATAGTTTCGAAAATAGGTGCATGAATTCAATCGCCCTTCGAGGTCTAAATCAAATTATAGAATTTACTTCAAAAATAAGATTAAATTTAAGTTTGATGACAAAATTGAAACGTGAATTTAATATTACATCGAAAGTCTCTAAATGTAATCGAAAATTTAAAACTATTTGAATTGTGAATGTTGTAACTTAGTATTTATTATAACCAAATTTATTCGTCCTATTGAAATTAAAGATAATTTAATACAATTTTAAAATATTTTAAGGAAAATTAAATATTTTAACTTGCATATGTATCTAATAAAATAAAACAGGTATTTAGTATTTGTATTAGTTTACGTGTTGTAAAAAAAGTAGTTCAACGTATTGAAGTATAAATTAAATATTACCAATTTAAGATTTTCAAATCTGATTTTGGTGCTACGTAAAGTAAATATAGATTTCCACTCAAATGAGTGTTTAAAGAGTTCTCGAACTCATATTTTTAAACTGAACTATTTCTTTTAAATATACCGATCCTGTGTAAAAGTGCTACAAATATAGGTTATTGGTCAGAGAAGGCAAAATTTCTGATAGAAAATTGAATCTACTATTTGAACAGAAGCCGAAACAATCCATGAGGTAAAGTATAAACATACTATCTTAATGTGTTCCGTTTTAAATCTAAAAGTAAATTTTTTTTTTCGATTCTCATAGTATGTTGCGATTGCGTTTAATACTTAAGAATTAATGACATAGATAACAATAAGCTTATTTCACTATTAAAACTTGTATGCTGATGTATTATATGAAAAGTAGATTTGCAAATTCCGAGAAGTGTTGTTTTTTTAATCTTTAAGTTCATTATTGATTTGGGTTCTATCCTAAGCGGATCAGTGTTAAAACGGGCGAGAAATCTTCTATGCAAATAAAAGTTCAATAAAATGTTATAGATAACTCGAAATCGGGGTCATATAATACTAATTTTGGAATCTCTAACAGTTTTGAGCTGGATTAAGTTAAATTGTCTATGAAGTAAATTGTGAGGTACTACATCGAAATTGCAACTGTATCATTTTATAGTTGTCGAGAACCAAATTTAAACCTGATAGCACGTATATATTAAGATTTCGATTGAAAGATGAAAAACAGTCAGTACTAGAGCGTTTATAGTCAATGATATAGCAGATCTACACAATTTGGGGATATCTATCTACAGCATAAGTGTGCAAGTGTGAATCGGAAGTTTCGG